AAATTCCATCCAAGCTATAGCCCGTGAAATAAAAATTGCAACGTTGATTTTTTTATTAAAATCCATCGCTTTTTTAAATTTTAATATAGCCACTGTCACTCGCACATTTAGGTGAAAAATTTTTCAGCTGATGAAAAAAGGTGTTTTTGACTATCTGAGCTTACAGTTATATCGTTCTAACACTTGTTATACGATGAACCAGATACGTAAGAAATGTGTTTTGAACATGATCGATTCAATTTATAAAACAGTTATAGTAAGGACTCCAAACCAACGAGGCGTATTCCAATTTGATACGTACTCGGACATATACAAAGTGAAGGGTGGGCCATCCGTTGGTTTCTTTTTTAAATTGGTACTATAACTACACTCTTCAATAATATCTAACACTCGATACTTTATTCAAAAGAATACACCTTCCGATTATTAATTTATGAAAAACAATCGCAGTTAAATGGCTGCCGCGGCTGGCCTGATAGTAGTCCATCTTCTTAACCCAATTTTGAAGCACATTTTCGATAGATAGTGGGTGTATTTCATCAATCGATCGACGGATATTTTCCTTAAGAATATCAATTGTTTGAGGATCCTGTTGGAACCAGAGATTGTGCAAGTGCATGCAGTCTAATAGTGGCCAGAAAAAACTCCTCAACATGTTTCTATGGCGTTCTACGTTTACCGTCACGCTGTTACCATCTTCATCTTGAAAAAAGTAGAGACCATTAATCCCACCAGTCCAAAAGCCACACCAAACAATTGCTCTTTTTAGATGCACTGGTTTTTCTATGACATATATAATGCTTTTAATGCAGCCAAGTCTTCAACAATCTTACACTTTCGAACAATGGAACCTTAAGCTCCATTAGCACTATTTACAATTTTCCTACTGTCAAATGTCACGCCTAAATCAAAAACGCTTTCGTGCCGACTGATTACATTTCTTCCGATGTTATAAGGCTAAATTACCATTTGTTGTTTTCGACAGAATGTAACCACTTTGCATTTAGCGACATTTAGATGCAGTTTATTCAATCGACACCAATCTTCCAACTGTGATAATTGACACTATAAGCACCCACAATAAGTCATCGGCAAATAGTAATGTTTCACAATGAATCTTGCTACTTACATATATCGTTAATAAAGAGCAAAAAAGCAATGGTCCCAAATTTGAACCCTGTTGTACCCCTGAAGATGATGTGTAGCGAAAAGGTTCGACGCAATTGTCTGATGTGATTAGATCGAGTTGTCAGTGAAGCCAAACTAATTCAATTTGTCAGAAAGCATCATGTGATCAACTTCATCAAATAATAATAATAAATAATAATGTGCCTTTATTCAACTTTGCATACATAAAATAAAACAAAAAAATGATATCTTGAAAACCGCAAAAGTGCAAAATTGAAAAGGTGGAGTGTTACCCTAGGGGTATTTTTCAACTCATGCCTTTGAACAATCCGTGTACGCTACGTCCAACTGGTGCTGACAATCCAAAATACTTGATGCTAACTGAGTGAAAATCCCAAAGTTGGACAGTTGATCTACCATCCGGTTATAATTATTTCGAAAAAGTTTGCTTAAATTTTTAATGATCGAGATTGATCCAGAATTTATAATTGATCTCTGCCACACTATGATTTCTTTCCATTTATCTGGAATACTTGATTTGGTTTAACATAATATTGAATAAAATAATCAAGGCACTCATTATACCTGGAACAGTATATTTGACTAAAAAAGAAGGAATCTTATCTGGCCCTGATGCCATCTTTGGTTTCAACTGCATCCATAAATTTCCGTTTCGGTGATGCATTCCCAAATTATATCAATAATATCTGTACTTATCTTGGAAGGAAGACTTATCATTTTCCTAGGTATGACTTTTGAAAAAATCAAATCAAAACACCGGCAATCGTTATTCAAATGCGTCGAACTATTCGTCATTGCCTGTCAGAGCGGTCCGTAGGACCTTTGCTCTTGGTTGAAGTCTTGTACGTCAGTAGGTCTGTCAGGTCTGGTTGCCCAGATACCAAACAAAGTCAGGGAGAAAGAAGGGAAAAAGAAAGGAAGGAAGGAGGGAGAGCAACGAAAAAAGAAATGCATCAATTTGAGGGGTGCCTTGGCATTGCTAGTTAGTATTCGGCAATTTTAAATTGATCCTAAAATTAATTTTGAGATTGGTTGTTGAAGAAAAATTATAGTTTTGGTTGGACCTAAAGTCGCACGATTTGATTTTGTTCACAGTGCGAGTCGCGGCCTTGTGTGCTTGCGAACTTGCTCGACTGTGTAGTCTACTGACTCGCGCAACAAAGGGTTATGCGATTCTGCTTGACTGTAACATAGTTGCGCTTGTTGTTTGATGGTAAGGGTAAGGGATGTCAAGGTCTCTGTGAAGGGTCTCGTCGGAAACATACCATGGGGCGTTAGTGATTGTACGCAAGGTTCTGTTCTGCAAAACCTGCAGGCTACGCAAATGCGTTTTGGCGAGAAAACACCAAGCCGCACTTGCGTAAGTGATCGCTGGTCTAATAACCATCTTGTAACTTTGTTGATCAAACTTAATTTTGATGTTCTACATAGCATAGAGTTGCCGAAACGAGATTTGGAATTTAGTTTTTAACGCTTCAGTGTGCTTCTGCCAGGTTATCCCCTTGTCAAGAGTGACACCGAGATATTTAGCAGAGCTTTCCCATGGTACCCGAGCTTCATTTACTGAAACCTCAGACGGGGTGCCGCTACGTTTTTTATTACAATGTATTGTCTGCGTTTTCGAATGATTAATTTTGATCAGCCACAGATTCGCCCATTCTAATACCCCGTCCACTGCACTTTGCAGCCTGTTGCGAACTAGATCCCCAGAGCACGACTGGGCCACCAGGGCAGTGTCATCAGCATAGAGATAGGTTTCACAGCTGCTGGGGCAAGGGACGTCATGAATAAAAAGTGAATAAAGGACTGGTCCAAGAACCGAACCCTGAGGGAGACCGGCCTTGATGGGCCGTGTTGTCGACAGAACGTTATTAATTTTGATCCGAAATTTCCTACCCTCGAGAAAGGATTTCAAAAGTTTTAGGAGCCAGAAGGGGAAGCCTTTATGGATCAATTTGTAGAGAAGGCCCTTGTGCCACACCTTGTCAAATGCCTTTGAGACATCCAGTAGCAAGATGCCAGTACTTTCGTTACGGGTGAACCCCCTGGTGACTCGTTCAACAAGCCTTATGGCCTGTAGCTCCGTACTATGCTCAGCACGTCAGGAATCACATTGTGGTCTGCCGAGAAATTTTCAGGGTGACGTAGAATCACCTTTTCAACGAGTTTAGAAGGAGCTGACAGTAGACTAATGGGGCGGTAATCCTGGGGGAATATCGAACCCAGCTTCTTTGAAATCATTATGACGACAGCGTTGGGAAGTGCTGGGTCCTTAGCATGGCATTGATTATTGCCACGAGATAAGTTAAGGACTTCCGCGAAAGTAGCTTCAGCGCCTTATTAGTGATTCGATCCTCTCCAGGTGCTTTACGCACCTTGAGGTCTTTAATATGACCTTGGAGCTCTGCTGGTGTGCAATGCGGAGTCTCAGGAGATTCCGCTGATGTGCCGTGCAGATCTTCAATTGAGAAATCTTCTGAAGGTTCCTCTGAGGAAAAATCACTAAGGGAGGCACTACTGCCACTGACGCCGTTGGCCCTAAAATATCTCCTGACGGATCTTACAATATGTTGCTCCTCGTCGAGGTCATTATCAAGGTCATAGTGGGGAGAGAACTGACTTTCCATTGCGTCAGCGAAAACCTCGACCTTTTCCTCTGTCCTACAGACTAAGCCCCTAGGACCGTGGATGTGCGGGAGTTGTTCTCGCTTTCCGTTTCTGAGCGAATTTGCAACTTTCCAGAGAGGAATACCTGAGTCAAGCATCCCCGACAGAAAGTCGCCCCATTGCTCATTACGGAATTCATGAAGAGCATTTCTCACTTCATGAACAAGATTAGTTGCTCTGTGAATGTCATCTGGGTGACAAGACCTCTTCGCTTGCTTAATTGCAGCTCTTTTGTCAGAAATTTTCTGACGAATGTCTGCAGGGAGATCAAATGCGTCATGTTGCCTGTGATGCGCGACGCAGGCGGGATCGGCTTTCATCGAGTATTGTATTGTTTGAAGATGAAATTATTACGACAGTTCCTAGCTTTGTCTTTTATGTTTTTGATAATAGTTGCTTATACCATTTGGGAAATCTTTGAAAGTTACACTAAATATGTATTGTTTTCTCTGTAACTTGTCACGAAGTCTTTCCATTGTTAGTTATAATCTACTCGTACTTATATCACAAAAATTATCAAGTAATATCGGGACTACTTGAACTTTGAAGTATTTAACGTGAAAACGTGATTTACATTGCTAATACTGGACTTGAGCTTGGTTTGATTTCAGGTAAAGTCAAGTAGTGAATCCCTTTCCCTAGGGAGCCTTCTGTTCTGCTACGCTCAGCATTTGTGGTGTTAATGTGATCTGATAATCTGGATGAAATCAAAATCCTCAACCACGTCAAATTCAGATTCATTCGTAACCGCTCCGATTCTATTCATAAACACTTTCAGTGGAAGAAAAGTGAGAGTGGTTGTTGTATTATCTGCAGTCGATGTCGGTGGTGCTGACTGTGTAGAGTATGTCACTGTCACTAGGTCAGTGTGTCAACGAGAGTGAATCCGGCGCAAGCAAGTGGTATCGGTGCAACTGTGCCAAGGTCGCCGATTGGCGTCAAAGCGTTAAATGCGAGGCGTCACGCGGCGCGGCCCGCATTCGCTCCGCTTCTGATGATAATAATAAAAACATCAGCGGCACTGGGACATGGCGGTAGACCTCTTTTCGATATTTCAGTGGAAAAGTATTTCTATTTCTAGTTCGATCTGAGAATAGTACGTAGGAAATGGCATGAATTTTATCCTATGACAATGCGCCGTATTCATAAAAGTGAAGCATATCCTCGAAAGCATAAGGTAAAAGTATAAGGTCTTGCTTCGGAGAAAAAGGTAGAAGTATAAGCATGTCCTTGTTTTCATATTCATAATGATTAACTTATACTCGCGAGGATCCTTCAAGACGAGGTAAAAGGTTGACTGGTATTTGTATCTTGAGCGACATGTCCTGACTTGTTCCAGCTTGTAGTTGATGTGGGAGTTCGTTCACTCAGCATCACTGACAGGTGTACTCCAGAGCTTACACAGACCGTTCCGTATTTTAACTGGATACAGTTTTTATCAAATTAATAAGCATGTCATTCTCAAGTGATGAGGAAACTATAGAAAATAATAGCAACGACCTGCAGTTCATCGCAGATGAAATTGCCATTGCCCCCATTATTTTGCAAAGGTTAAAAGTTCCAAAAATAAAAATGAGAAAAAAAAATCAACAACATGAAATCAAGATAGAAGAAAAAACAGATCTAAAAAAAAACTAGTAATAAAGCAGCGAAATTGTTAGATTGGGAAATAAAGTTGCTGAAAACTGTAATCCTACAATTGTGAAAATTAGAGGTGACATTCAGGATGGTAGAGTTCAGGAAGAAGGAAGTGAACTATATACCGAGCGCAGTGAGAAACAGTTAGTATTACAGGGCCAGCAGTTCAGCAGACATTGCCACCAAAAAGAAAATTAGCTACAGAGAAATACGAAACTGAGAAAACCAAAGGGTTAAGAACAAAAGAACTGTAACGTCTAATGCTATTACAGCAGTACCAAACAAGTATTTTACAACAAGAGTATTATAAAACGAAATTAGAAATGATGCAGCGTCAGAAGCCACCTCTAACTTATGATGTTCATGAAAATAAAACTTATTATAACTTATAAATTAATTAATCAGTAAAACTATTTATTATAATACCCAAGTTTCTTCTTATTTGTTGACCTAGTTGGCGGAGAGGAAGTTCGTCATTCTCATGATTTCCTTCATCTTTATCTGGGTCTTGTTCAACTAATTCAAAGTCAGTATCGCCAAAGCTATTCGCAAGATTATATAATACATATAATACAAGCAATAATTATTATCGGCACATTTTCCGATTTTAAGCGGCAAACATGCTGTTTCTGCTTTATTTACTATACTAAGTGACATATAAATCCGAACACCCAGTTTAAATGGTTTTATTTTAATAAAATTTTGTATCAGTACTTAATGAAGCATAATAAGTAAATGATAAAAATTTCAAAATGATTTCACTGCTTTAAAGCCCTTTGACCTTTAACAATGTGAGGATGCACCCTGATGTGCTACGCATTCTCCAACGCGCCTAGGCATGCTTCTGATCAGGTGGTCAATGTCCTCCTGTGGTATCTCATACCAGGCAACCACCAACTCCTCTCGAAGTGCTTCTAGAGTCTGAGGAGGACGTTGCAAATTGAGCAATCTCCTACCCATCATATCCCTCACGTGCTCAATTGCGGATAAGTCGGGAGATCTTGGTGGCCATGGTAACAATGTGACATCATTATGTTGAAAGAAGTCTATTGTGACTCTTGCAACATGTGGTCGGGCATTATCTTGGATCTGCCAGGGTGTCAAGATACGGTAAAAGACGGGGTTCTAGAACTTCATGGATATAACGCTGCGCGTTCATGTTACCTCTGATGAAGATTAAAGGTGACCTGGAACCATAAGCTATAGCACCCCAAACCATAACTCCAACAGTGTGATGAACATGTCTTTCAACAAAAAACTGTGGATTCCTCCTTTCACCACGTCGCCTTCTAACCCTGGCACGACCATCGTGCACGCCTAAACAAAATCGAGACTCGTCACTAAAGACAATACTGATCCCAGAGTGACCGTTGTCTGCACCACTCAAGGCGATTACGTCGGTGTTCTCGAGTTAAAAGGACCCAGTGTGGCCGGTATGAAAACAAGCCAAAACTTCTCATTCGTCGGTAAACACTTCGCATGCCAATAGGTCTTCCGTGTTCTGCAAACCATTCATTTGCAATGGATCTGGTAGTGGAGAAACGGTCCCTTAAGGCCAATAATCTTAGGCGGCGATCTTCACGGTCTGTTGTTCTACGGCGGCGTCCAGTGCCCCTTGCTCTTTGCGTACGGCCTTCTCGAAGCCATGCCTGACAACACCTAACCACAGTGTCTACACTTCTTTGCACTCTAACTGCAATTGCCCGAAAAGAAAGTCCAGCTTCCCGAAGTCCCACTATACGGCCCCTATCAAACTCACTAAGTTGACGAAATCGTACAGGTCTCCATACTCTAGGCATCGTAACCGATCGTAAAGGATGTCAAGAACCACAATCCGCCAAGGTTGATTCTTTACTGCGGCTGAAATATACATTTTTAGAGCGTTAGTGAATTAAAAAAAAGCAGAATAAAAAGCGGAATGTCCAACTGATAAGGCTGAAAATGTTTTCACTTGTTATTTACAGTAAGATAAATACATTCACCAACTTTTATTAAAATAAAATCATTTGAACTGGGTGTTCGGATTTATATGTCACTTAGTATAGTTGTGGTCTAGTCTGTGAATTTCTCCATATTCTGGAGTCATGCACTGATCCAGGCCAACTGACATCAACACTTTGTGAACATCTCTCTGGCATCACAAGTGGCTTGCACATTTAAAGTAGGTTTCCCTTTTCGGTTGATATACTCATCTCCATGGCGATTTGGTTTGAGGATTTATATATATGTATACAATCAATTACACCAACTTCTGTCGGAAATTTATACATGCGTTGCCATATTCGTTTGGCCTCCATCAGTTCATGGTTGGTAGTTGGATACTTGATCCATTCGTGCGACTGTGCAGCTATACTCTTCACAACTCTATCCACAGTCCGAGATACCATTGCATGACTAACACCAAGTTCCCGACCAATACCTTATTGATATCCAGGGTCACCGAGATAGCGTAGACATATCTTCATTTTATGAATACATGAAAGTGCTCCTCCTCGAGTTTCCTCATTCTCAACTAAAAATCTGTCCGCAAGCCATTGTACATTTGCTTCGTCGAACCGATATAATTTTTTGAAGTCACGACCAAGTGAAGGTAAACGAGGTTTGTACATTTTAACATCCCTAACATCCACAATTTCCGCCATCATCGTTTGACCACCTTTCATTACGAAGTTGAGTCTGCCTCTGACCACACTATGCCAAGTATAAGGTGAAGATTATGAATATCCTTTTAGTTATCTTACTGCTTATACTCAAAAAGCAAATGCATTTACTTCAAATTATTATAAATACCATCTGAAGGATTTCCTTCAAAATTTGCAAGTACAAGGATATCCTTTGTTTTATGAATACGGCTCAATTATTAATATAAATAATAATTACAGGCAGCTAGGTTATGTCCACATTTTTATAAAGCACCGGCAGGGTTATTACGTGAAAAACAGATCGGTAAAATGTCAACTTCTGTACTAGCCAGCCGCCAGTGTGTCGCTACAAGTGAGCATAAATGTGACATTTTATAAAATAATAATATTAAATAATATATAAATAATTCATTTGAAAACTTTCCACCACGGATTTATCGAAAACCACTGATTAAAAGAAAAAACGCCTAGACACGTCAAAAGATTTGCCAAGGGGGACAACTTTTTATCTAAAAGCTACTTCATCCTCGGCCACCCAGGGTCATTCCCTTAAAAATTTTAAATGACGATAAATCCGTGGTGGCAAGTCAAATGAACGCCGCGAGACGTCCAAGGATTTGTCAAGGGGGACAACTTTTTAACCAAAACCTACTTCACCCCTTTCACCCTCGGCTCCCCAGGGTGATTATCTAAAAAAATTTCAATGACCGAGTAATATCTAGTTTGAAAAGTCTGTCGAAGTCCTTTATTTTGATGTTTGATTTTTCAATCAGTCCATTCGTTTTCGAGAAAATTAGAAAAATCTTTATGTATCTCAATTTGTTCAGATAGAAAATAAAAACACACGAAAATATCACTTTTTATTGCAATAAGTGTTCAAAATGTTGCCCGTTACGGCTTGCCAAATCTACAATTTGTTTATAATTTAAAACGGAAACTACCAACATATATATAAAAATCAATTCGTTAGACGTGGCAACAACCAAATAGCAACCCGAATTTATTCTGCATTCTTTTCATTAACACAGAAATCCTGGGCGAACTGTATTTACTGTTATACTAGTTAAGTTATTTGTTGCTAAGGGAAAGAAAGAATTTAATTTGCTGTCAGTTATCTTTGTGACAATCTTGGATAGTGAAAATTAGTTTATTGATTCAGATTTTACTTCCAAAATGGCTTACACACTAGCGAAAAGAGTGGAAATGATTCTAATTTAAGGTGCCCAAAATAAATGTGCTCGGCAAACTGCCGTTACGTTTAACGCCAGACATCCGGGGAAGATAACTTCGCATAGGTATGTTTTGGACCGTGTTACTAAATTTACTCAAACTGGATCTGTTCAATTCAATTCAATTCAATTCAATGGACTTTATTGTAACACATACATAATTATGTATCCTTACAAATGGCGAAGTCTGGCCAATGGCTATTTATACTTAACCATAAATGTCATGTCAATGCTTATTACTACCTTAAAAATAAAATAAAAAACTGAAAAAGAAAAGGAAAAAGAAGAATAATAGTAAAAGAAGAATTAATAAATATGACATAATGCGTACGATTAGAACAAAAAACATAATACGTACGATTCAAAGAGAAGACAATAACCTAAGAGCTCAATGAGTAGTTCTTATATTTTTTTTTAGAAAACTTGCTGATGAAACATTGTTCGAAAGAGTTGATCAATTTCACCGCATTATACGTAAAATACCGTTGAAAAATGGCTGTCCTATGTTGTGGCATTGTCAGGAGATTAATGTTGCGCGTATTCAAATTGTGAATTAAATTCCTACGAACAAGCTTTTGCATAAGATAAACCGAAACAGAAGTTTTTAATATTTTTACAAATGTAACAAAGTTGTATTTGAAAAGATCAGAAATTTTCAACCAATTCATTGAAGATATTGATTGAGAAACATGATCGTACCTTCTTAAATTGTTTATGTGACTACTACATGAGTTTTGAATTTTTTGCAGTTGTGATTTCATCCAGACAGGGATAATAATCTATGTTTCAGTAAGCGATTTTACTGAGTATGAGTGACTCGCACAACATTTTCTTAATTTTTCTATTTAAAACAGTTTTACTTGCATATAGAATCCTGAGTCTAAAATAACTAGACTTACATACATAGCCAACATGCTCCTGAAATCTGAAATCTTCATCCAAGTACAAACCTAAATTTTTTGCAGAATGGGAAAATATTAGGATACTA